GTAAATATTCAGATTTACTAGACATTTTTGTTTGTTGCAAGATTTGAATTGCATCCTATTAATGTATTCTTCACTTCATTCTTATTAAACAAACTCTTGTCAGAAAATAGTTTTGCCTTCATTTTAGATGATATATACTTAATATTCCAGATTTTATATCTATGTTTTTGTGGGTAGATAAAATTAATCAAACTCCTTAGGCCAGGCATGGGCAAACTTCAGCCCTCCAAGTGTTTTGGATTCCAACTCTCACAATTACTAACAGTATCAGGCCCTTTCCTTTTCCCCCTCGGCTGCTTAAGCTGAGGCCTGAAGCTGTTAGGAAATGTGGGAGTTGAGCTCCAAAACACTTGGAGGGCCGAAGTTTGCCCACACCCGCCTTAGACAAATTAACTTCATCTATTTGCAATTGTTTAAGTAAAGCTATTAGCTTTTCTAAGAGCAGAAATCTATGTGAGCCCTGCTGGATTTATTAGGATTGATTTCTGTAGTGAGTGGCAGCACTATTTTATCATTTTTAAAACAAAAAAAATCTGTTTAAAACATTTTAATTTTTAAAATATTTGCTAATTAGGAAACTTGAATACTTCAACTGTAATATAAACTGAGAACACACTATAGGAATACACATATATTTTATTATGTGTGTATAATTGTATCAATGTACAAATTAGTAATTTGTATACAGAGGCTGAATGTTAGATGTGAAAACTTCTACAGTTGTCTCTCCATTATTTGAAGTTTTGCCTTTTGTGGATTTGAGTTTTCCGGGATTTGATTTGAAATGTTCTCTCTAGGAATCTATAGGTCATCCAGTGTATTTCTATGGTTATCTTCCTCCAGTCACACTGGAGGACCTCGAGATTTCTCGAGAAAACACCTTTCTAAGAATCTCTAAATTGGCCAATGCAATTCTATCACCAGCTTCCAAAGGAGGTTAACCATAGAGTTGTGTTGGAAAACTTGCAACTTCCTCAAGAGGTGTTCTCACAAGTAAAAATAAATAGCAATTTCTTTATTTGCGGTTTTTCACTTTCATGGTGCCCTAGCCTCAGTGAATGGGGAGGGCTGACTATACAATGTTACTGATCATTAGTCTGCTGACACATATTTACACATGTACACAAGCTGCTCCTGTGTTAAAATTTTTGTCTCAACACCACTAATGTCATCTGTCACTTTTCCACAGCCTTCGCTACATGCACCAAGTAACAATATAAAGTTGCAAATTACTCCTGCCATAATGGTGATTTTTACTCTTTAGATACATAGTTTATATACATAGAAATGTGGAAAAGTGTGGAGTGGGAATCTGTTAATTTGTTCTACATAACAACCTATACAAGATTCATGTTCTTTCTTACACAAAAGTATATTTCATGCAAAATCTTTTTTTTTACAAAGATGACACTTTTTGGCAGCAATAAATTGAAAGGAATGATGAACCTGATTTTCCGCTGCATTACTGTTATACCACTGAACTATTGTGTGTCTGTATGGCGAGAGCAGTAGTCTTCAGTGTACTTAGAATGTAATGTCTGCTCAGGAAAAAAAGTTCCTTGAATTCAGTCATATGCAGAGGTCAGAGTAGTGTAACTACACAGGATTAACATGGTATAGTAGTTTGAACATAGGATCACGGTTCTGGAGACCATGATTCAAGCACTTATTCTGTCATGGAAACCCATTGGGTGGCCTTGAGAAAATTAAGCTCTTTCATACCCTTCTGAACAAATTTTGCTAAAAACAAACTGTGCTAAGTTTGCCTTAGGCGTGCCATAAGCCATTGTAAATTGAAAACAATGTGAAGGCACATTACAGCAAGTATATATGACACTCCAGTGTCGGCTTCTCTGAAACAGATAATAGCAACATTGTCCAAACAGACCCCCAATAAGCCAATGACAACCAGGTGATATATACAGAAACCAGTACACACACACACACACACACACAGGATGAAGCTAGCATTGGGTGCTGTGAGTTTTCCGGGCTGTTTCAAGCTAGCACTGTTCTGCTGCTCATATGAACATAACTATACTTAGTTCCATTTTATATTCAAAGTCATTCGCCCAGGAAATATGCACCTGGAATCCTTTTTTTTCTCTTCCAGAATGAGACTTTTTTTTTTAGAAACACGTGAAGATCATTTCTTATACAAATTGTTTCTCCATTTGTTGAACTACCTCCAGAGAGAAGGTTTCCCCACACTGTAGTGGCAAACAGCATCCAAATGGCTGAATACATTACACACACACACACACTGAAGTAAATTTGATCATGACACAAAGCAGTCTTTTAATGGTAAGCTTTACAGTGTAAGTTAAAATGTGGTACTTTACTTGCTGCGATGATGTCTAGATATTTTAATTTGTACATCACTTGAGGCATTCATATATATATATATAAATTCCATTTAAAACCACATGAATACTGACATAACTAATTGCTGTACAGATTGCCCTGAGCAACTTGGGAAGTAAAGGATTCAGTCAAAGCATAAGCTCTTTTACTTTGACCACCATTTTCCAATTAATTTTATTTCAGAATTCAGGCACATTTCTACATGCCAACTTTTTTTTCTATATCCAAAAATGTAATTATAGCTATTTTCAAACTTTAGAGTATTACAGGGAAGCTCAGGCACATATAATGGGGTGGTTCCCTATTCAGTCTGCCAGCTTTCCTGCCATTAGCTCTTACTAGTGCAGAGAGTATGTAAATTTAAATACCCCACAGAGTACTGAGGTGTGGGTTGCAGGCAAGGAAGCTTTTCTATGGAGCGGAACACATAGATAAGCTGTTGTTATGGATTTATTCAAGATCTGACATGAATAAGCATCAGCTCTATTGTGTATGCTTCATGAAAAGGTGTCCCAGTTTACCAGAATTACATATGTCACTTACATTATTTTGGCCATTATTTTGACCAAGACGAAAGCTGCCTTTCGTCTTGGTCTGTGCTGCAATATGACCCTTGAGGCCATTCTTAAATTGAATTCAAACTCAGGGAGTTAAAATGTTTTTCTACCTCTGTTTTAGAGGTAGTTGATATCTTGGTAAACTCTTTGTGCATCTTTTGGAAATCATAGGAATTAAACTTTCTGACATCATCCAGCAATCTGTTTATGTTATTGTTATTGTCATGTGCCTTCAAGTAATTTCTGACTTATCGCAGCCCTGATGTGGACCTATCACAGAGGGGGCTTTTTGGGTAAAATTTGTTCAGAGGTGTATTTTCTTTCCTCTGAAGCTGAGAGAGTGTGACTTTCCTATTATCACTAAGTGGGTTTCCATGAACAAGTGGGGATTTAAACCCTAGTTACAACTCTGGTTAGTATTTGGATGGAGACTGCTAATGAATACCAAGTGCCATAGGTTATATTTCAAAGAATGGATCTGTCTGAATCACCTCTTGAGTATTCTTTGCCCAAGAAAACTCTATGGAATTCAAAAGATCACCCATAAGTTATCAGGTGATTTAAAGACACATCAACACACTCTCTGGTATCATAGTTAAGCACTCAGATCACTACACCATTTTGGTTCTTAACCATTTCTTTTGCCACATACTATATTTTTATTCTCTTTATTCTTCATATTCTCCATTTGTCTCTGATATTTTTCCATCCTTGTGTTCAAAACTAAAAGTCTTAGATAATTTAAACCATCAAACGTTGCCTTATGAAAGCACTGATCCATCTTATTGTACTGAGTGTAGAGACTTGGAGCAACTGCTCAGCTTCTCAGAAGCCTGCCTTATAACCTGCTTCCTCATCCTTTGGAAATGCCATTGTGTGAATCAGAGTTGTGGCTTTAAGATTTTTTTTTGTAGTCTTGATTTTCTTGGACAAGCAAGCTTTAAAATGTTTCTTTTGTGTCTACTATTGGTAAGTACCTCCCATTGTCATTGACAAGACAGATGTGTTTTCACAGCTTCCACATTAGATTCAGTGGAGTCCAAAGAAACAGCCTTGGGATGGATTCTATGATTCTAAGTGATCCAAACATTTATTAATTAATGTTTAAATAAAAAGATCTGCTCCTCAAAAACTGTTTGACATAATTTTAAAAACGTAATAGGAAATACCAAAAAAACCGTAAAAGAAACAAACAACAGAGTAGATAGACGAAATAAACTCTGCAGAAATAGCGGTAAAATACAGCATCAAAAAGGTATTGGCAAACAAAAAGTGCTTAATATGGTGCCAGAACAACAACAAATTTCACATTAGACAGCTCTCACTCTGGAGAGAATTCCAAAGCTAAGGCAGGACATCTAAAGCATGGCAGGTTTCAAAGAATATTTCAAAGATCGGCAAATGCCAGATTTTTGACACATGAGCAACTGAAAACACCTCAAAAGAAGCTCTGAACAGTACCACAGTCTCATGTAGGAGAAAAGGGTAATTAATACAGTTTCATCTCAAGCCATTTATGACTATAAAGGCTAAAATCAGGATCCTGAGTAGGATTTGAAAACATACAAATACTTTCAACATGCAAATACTTTCTTTCTTCAGAGATCCAGCAGAGTTCCCCATTCCCTACCCCACAAAAGAAATCAAGTTCCATTCATACAACTACAAAGTTTAAAGATATCACAAGGGGCATTTAATCTGCAGGAACAGACAACTAATGCAGTCCAAAGAGATGATCATCCAACTCAGCCTTTGAAGCCACAATTCTACATAGAAGACACCCAGTTTTGTGATTTTCCTTGGTTGTTGCTCTGAGATGATATTATATCTCCCAAAGTGCAAGAGAAATAGGAAAAAAGCGCTGCTATCTCCAGCAAGGCTTATTAATCTCATGTGCGAAACCATTTTCCCCATGTGGCAAAGCATTTAACATGCACGGAGCATTTTTCTTTCACTGGAAAAGCAGCTTTTGATGCACATCCATGGCAGTTAGCTTTTACAATTCTGTATTCACATGTAATTCTATATTTTGGCCTTGAAGGGATTTTTTAAGTTACAGAAGTAAGCATATAGACTTACCATGTCTTCATTTTCAAACTGTGCATTGTATAGTCCTGCATCTTCTTCCGCTGTTTTCTCAACAATTTTTCTGCAGATAAGCCATATGGTAAGACTGGCAATAAACATGCCAATGTCAGGAACAAAAATTCGGATTCCATTGCCAACATCTGCCCCTTTGACACTGTATGGAAGAGAAAGCGAGATTGGGTGAGTAAGAGAATATAAGTCACTATTCAACATTTTCATAACATATTTCTTCACGACCTAAATAATAACACCAAATACTGTGATTAGGAAGCTAAGAAAACGAGGCCTGGTTACTACTTGGATGGAAGACTACCATCAAATTTCAAGTGCTGTAGGCCAGGGCTTCCTAAACTTTTTCAACTTGGGATCCTTTTTTGTCCAATATATTTTATGCAAACCCAGATATATAAGTGTATATAATAGGTATGCAAATCAAACTTTAATTGAATATTGGATGGTTAAATCTGTGGATATGGAGAACGAACAGTACCACAGCAATAACAATTGTGGCATGCCTAGCTTTCAAGTACATAAAAACCAAAGCTCTAAAGTTGTCTTCAGCATCTGCTGGCGTTTGGTTCCAGAACTCACAGTGGATACCAAAATCCATGGATACTCAGATCCCATGATAAACAAGGATATAATAAAATGATGTCTCTTATGTAATATGAAATTTTAAAGTATATTGGACCTTTTTTGGGGTGATGTGTGGAATCTTTGGTTCCAGGTTAAGTTAAAATTCAACATTAGATTGACTGTTTATTTTCTAATGTGTCAATCCCAAGGCTTTTAAATTTTTACTTTACATTTTGAAAATAATTCAATTGGTTGAATTAATCAATTATTCAAGGCCATGACTGATTTTAGGTTCAGCAGTCATCTGAACTGAGCACAGAGTCCAAGATGGTCCAAGAAGCCTCACCAAAACAAGTGAATGCTCTGATAATAAAATACCACATCACTGTCATGCACAATATCAAATTGGTGCTATCACTCAGATTCTTCAAAATTTAAATAGAAGACACATATTTATTACTGATATTACAGTGCTGAAAATGTTTTGGTCAGCTGAGTAAAGCAAAGCACAGGTGATAAAAGCTATATCATAAAAAATTGGCTTGAACTTTAACAAGCAGAAAACATCTAAATCTCCTGAAGAATATGTAAAGCCTTTATAATAATTCATGTATTTTGAATCAAATGCACATCTCCATTTCTCCCAGCAGCTGTATTGTGAGGGAAAAACCTGTTTGGCAAAGTATTCATTCAGCTATCATCCAAACATTTACCAAATGTTTACTTTCTAAACATCGTTATGCACAGCACTGCTATTTAACAACTTGTGTGCACATGCCAAGATTGGCAGTCTCATTACTGACATAAAGCATGCAACATTTATGGGTCTGTGATGCATACAAAAAGCAGACAATTGCCAAATGTAGATTGGGATACTCCCCTCTATGCTATTTCTGTATGCCTCATTTGTTTTCTATACAAGCCAAATTAGGTGTTCAATGCATTGCCCAGATATAATTTTTTAAGAAACAGTGAGCCGCATGCTGAGCATGGGTTGCCTGCCCTATCATCATAACCCTTGAGGGCCTGGTATCAATTCTGTGTTTGCTTCACCATCTGTAGTGGTGCACATAATACTATACTTATTTATTTTTTACGTACTGGCATTATGCCTGGAGCAGTAAAACAGCAGAACAAAAAAAGATGCTACCCAAACATTCAGGGGTGGGGGATCCATAACCTCAAAGAAGGGAGTAAGTAGACAAGAAATCAACTTGCAGAGATATATTGTAAATTTTCCTGCATGGCTGAATATTCTTAAAGCAGCCAAAAAAAATGATAAAAGGGATTTCACAACAGATTTCAGAAAGCACTGATAATATCTGGAAACCAATTCCAAGAATAAAGTGACAAGGACAAAATCTAAAACATAAACATTGTAGGACTTTACTGCCATGTCCTAAGACAGTTGTCAAACTTATGGCCCACCAGATGTTTGGCCTCCCAACTCCCAGAAGCCCAATGGGAAGGAATTCTGGGAGCTGAAGTGTCATGAATAACTTTAAAGCATAGGTTCTTTTTATTGCAATTTTCAGTGTGAGAGGGTACATAAGATTACAGAAAAACATTTAGACATACAGACATACAGATTCTATGCAACTACATGGCATTCACAATTACACTGGCTAACAAATAACCATAAGGGAAATTACATTTTAATTCAGCATCCACACACATGTACGTACATGCATTCATCCTCATGCATCCAAATATTACCATAGCCTTTTTTCCCTCCTTGGAGAAGCACCTGTTAGCCCAGATCCTGCTTTCCTGCAGTCTGCCAACGCATACTTCCAAAACTTCCATAACACCATACTTCAAAACGCCAAAATGCATTATTTCCCTAAGCACAATGCCAAGGACCAGATCTCTGTTTTCCAGACAGCACAAAATCTAAGACTCCAAAAGTGCACTTCTTCCTCTTCCCTTGAGAAAGAAGCCTCAAACTGACCAGATTGCTCCCTTGCAAATCTGCCACTCTCCGAATACACCATCTCTCTCCTTCCCATGGAGCAGAGCATGGCGAGTGGAACAGACTCCTGTGTTCTGTCACAATTTGAAAATTATTAGATTGAGTATTTTATAGGAATATTCTCATGATGTAGTCCCAAAGTTGTAAATTAATGATAGACTTCTTCCATTCTGGCTCCATCTCTGTTTCTTGGCCAGATGTTGATTCTTCTTGATTGGTGTTAGCCTTGTGTTGACTTCCTTCTGAACATTGTAAATATTTATATTATCACTGTCCAGTTCTTATCACAGTTTACTTTTCAGTTCTTATTAGCAACTTTTAATTACAGTTCAGCAAGCAGGTAGTCATTGCAGGCCTTAATATTTTACTGGTGTTTCCAAAATTATTAACTCCATTCATACATCCTTCCATTCAATTAATTCATACCCACATATCATATTAAATTCACATTTATCAAATCTGCCCCTTGATATTTTCATGATAGAAGTCCAAAACACTTTGAGGGCCACAATTTTGACACCACTGCCGAAAAACAAAATAGGAAGTTGGGGTCCTTCTCATGCTGTTGGCTTTAAATTCCCTCAAGTCCTTTTTTAGCATCACAATTGACGTGTCCTGTGGTACAAAAATTACAAAAGACCACATTTAGGTCTTGAGCAATTGTATTACAAAAAAAATCCAACAAGAAGAACATTAGTTGAGGAGTTTACAATGTTATTGTTGTAGCCTGGTCAAAGTGAACACTCAGAGGATGAGAAAGGGGATGCTGGGGTGGAGACTGGGAGGCCAAGGAAGGATGGAAGTGGCTTGGAGGGAGTTGTTATGGATTCTCATGGCAGTTCCCAAGCAACTGGAGAAAGTAATACCAGTTCTCATGAGAATCTGATGGGGATGTGGGAGACAAATGCTTTTCCAGATCAAGTCGCATTGAACTCTGGAGGCAAAATGTTAAACTAATGCAGACTAGGCTTAGAGATAAGAACAGAAAAAGCAGGTATGTGCAAAGTCATGTCATGGGAGAGATTGAGGCCTTTTAAGTAGTTTCTTCTGGTACAATCCTTTGTGAGACCAACATTGAATTCAAGGGGGAAACAGCTCTCGGTTCCTGTTCTTAGGTTTTGTTTCATGTATCCGAGTTTTCAAGTTTGTTCTGGTTTCTAGTTCCTGTGTGGATAAGACTGCCTGCCTCGGATTCCTGCTATCATGTTTATGGATTAATTATGAAAACTGTTTTAAATGTATTTTGGGCTTCTGAGATTCTTTTGGAATGACTTTTTGAACTTTGATGCTTTTTTATGAAGTTTCTGATTCCTTAAATACTCATCTTTTAATAAACTTAATCTTACTAGACTTTTTGGAGATAGTGTGGTAGAAAAGGTGCTTCAGGGCTCAAGTGCAACAGTTATGGCAATTGCCAGCCAATGTGAGATGCAATATATATCAGAAGTGGTTAAGGATTTGGAATTTGCTGAAAACCCAGTAATTGTCCTGATCTGCATCATGTAAGATATATACATAAATACATTTTAATTCAAGAATTCAAGAATCTAGGCTTGGACAGTGCGCGCACACATATAGAAATAGTTTCAGGTAGCTCCAGAGCAAAGCCTGACACAAAAATTGTCTGTTCAGCTGATATAATAAATTCTTACAATTCTCCTGCCAGTGGACAGTATATTCATAGATGATATTAGGTCCCCCCAAAACTTTACCATGTGCCTGCATCTGGTGTGTACTACAGTTCTCTAATTCTTCTAGTGAAAGAACACAAATGAGCTCGTATTGGGTAGTTTGGTTGCGTGTATGAGCTCTGTAACTCTCATAAACACAAAACAGAAACTAATAAAAATAAATGTGGAGGAACTAATTCAAGATGAACCAACTACAGACTACACATCATCAGACATAATTGAAGTAACCTATACATTATGTTAAGGAGTTAAGCCAGAAAAAGTCACTAAAAAGTTACCCTGCTAAACAGATGGGGAATTGAATACCAACTGCGAAATAACAAGACCAGATACAAGAGTTGGCGTGAAAAAAGGGACATTTTATTGGCCTAAACTATTTGCTGATGTGGGTCTAGACTGAGGGACACCTATCAACCTTGTGACCACCTCCTCATCCTATATTTGGGTTAAAATGGACATTTCTCAGTTAAAAACTGTTTTTGCTTTAGGTATCCACATTTCTAATATATATATATATTCCTCCTTAAATACACATTTTAAAATGCCTTTCAATTCATTTTTCAGCCAGGGACTGGAACATTCAAGAAAGTGCAAGAATCAGTGGACAATAAAATTCTAATTTCCACATTAGTCTGAGAGATAGCTAATATAGGGGAAGGTCAAGTCAGTTTGGAATTCACAAGCATTTAATTTCACAGACATCTCTAGTTCACTTAACTGGCTCCCTGTTCTTTGTCTGGGATCTTCAGTCCTTAGAGAATTAACAGCAGTAACTGAAATGCAGTAGGTAATTCTTTGGGATAGGAAGTGTTAGAGTCCTGCAAAACACTGTTAATATAAAGTGAATAATGTCCTGCTGGAGAGAACCAAGTGAGGTTATATTTCTGAGGCACAAGTAAAATATGAAGTATGTAC